CACTGTTTCAACTACAGGCGGCACAGACGAGGATGTCATAGCAGCCAGGATTCGAAAAGCAAGACAGGCATTCACTAATCTGAAATCAGTGTGGAGATCTTCTGCACTCCACTCAGCATAAAGCGTGAACAACATCCGGATTCTCAACACCAATCCAGTCAAGTCAGTCATTGCTTCTGTATGGCTCAGAGACTCGGCGTTATAAGAAAGGGATTTCCAACAAACTGCAAACATTCATCAACAACTACCCCCTACGCTGGCTCCTTATTGGGTTCAGATGGCGGGAAAGAAGAAGCAAGAAGGAACTCTGTCTGGGCAACAAACCAACCAAGAAGCTATCGCTGAACAAATATGTTGTGGAAGAAAGTGGAGATTGATTTGGCATACACTGAGAAGACCGACTGAGGACATCACGCGTGAGGCGAGGCACTCTAATGGAACCCAGATGGGAAACGACGAGTTGGAAGTTTGAGGGTGAAATGGAGGAGATCGTGCGAGGAGGAATTGAGAGCTTGTGGGCTGTCGTGGAGCCAGGTTCAAACGTTAGTAGAGGACAGAGTGCAGTGGAGACGTGCTAGTGAAGCGGTATATTCCACTAGGAACCCAAGGGACAAATAATAATGATAAATAATAATATCGAGGCATCCGCCAATAGAGGTTGGACGATTTGACCTAATAAAACAACGGAGAATCACAGGTATGAAAGGAAATAGTAACTGTCTTGGGATTATTTGAATTCAGACGAAATACTGAAATACGAAATAAGATGAAGTGATCTGAAAAATTCCGATTTCTGATGCAACTGGTTTACATTATTATTGTTTTATTATTACCATTGAATTCAATTTTGTCTAATTAATTTTCTGTCTGTAACCTGATGTATGATTTCCTGAACTGATTAGTTCCTATATTCCTACGGTCTATATAAACATTTTTGTCAAACTAATTAATTATTGCTGAAAAATAAATAAATTTTTCAATTAACTAATTATTCAGTTTTGATGGTTTGTTGGGGTTTACTGATGTCTAGGTGGCACTCAACACGGACCAGTATAAGTTGGAAAACAACTAGCTACCTAGGAGCAATGGATAACTGTTTCGCCCCAGTATGGAACTCCTCAGTGGTGGGCACCCATGAACCCGCTCCGCTAAGGACTGAACCTGGGGCCCCCTAGTTTCATGAAGAGCAAGCCACCACTGTACCACTTGGTCGAAATCCAGTGATCCACAGTTTCCTACTTCTGCCAATTCATAATATGGTGTAACGCCCATCCAATTCCATGGTTGAGTAACTGCCTTCATGTTCCACTTGGTTGGCCTCACTGGTCATAACTTCTCGTTTAGATTTCCGGAATTACCTCTCAGTTCCAGTTCCAACAAATTCGAACATGAGGACAGTTATTCAACCACGGCATTCGACAAAAGTTGTGGTACATCGTGAACTAATAAGAGTAGAAAATGTGAACCATTGGGTTCTGATCCATTGACTCGGTGATAACGTACTGGACTTGGAGTCTGAAGGTCATGGGTGCGTACTGCTGAGGTCTTCCATAGTAAAACGGAATAAATGTCCAGTGCTCCCAGATCCCCAGCGTTGTTCCAACGTATGTCAGTCCATGATGAATACCAACCTGAAATCAATCAATAAATCTCTATAAAATGAAAAGATTGAATTCTCAGTTGTTGTTTTTTTCAGCCTTTTACTCATTGTTTAGTATAAGAATCGCCTAAAATTTGTTTCAAAAGCTGATAGAAAACCTATTGAATTTTTTCATATGAAAGTGTTGAACTTAATAACAAGCATGTAACCAAAAATAAATTTCTTGGTTCAGAACAATTTGTCCTTATAAACTTACATTCCGTGAATGATTTGTGGTTAAGAAGTGAACATAAGAGAAATGTCTATTTTGTTGTTGCTGTTTAGCTAAGAGACATCTTAACAGAGATCACTGATCCACTACTCTGTAACCTAATGATCCTAGAAGGTAACCTTATCGTCTGAATGTGATCATAAGAATTACTGATGAATATGAGTATTTACCTGAACTTGATTATATAAGGACACCCTTTAATACATTCAGCATACATATATAGCCTGCCTACTATTTTATCTAAAGATCACACATTTAGATAAAGAAAAGTTCAGGGAAGACAAGCTTCGAAAACGGACTCTTAAGTAGGTTACTCCTGGAATCTGTCTCCGACTGCGTTCCACTTTTATCCAAAAAGCTTCTAAGTGTCCTTGATAGAAATGTATGCATGATTGTGAACCTCATTATCAGTAGCCATGTTATCGCAAAAATCATTTCAGCGTGTATTATTTGCTCTCGACTTCAATCTATTGAAAAGTTAAACAGTTTAATCATAGGATTTTGTTAATGAACTGTAAAACAGAATACATATCTCAATGTGGTTGCATCGTGATGATGAACTTCCTAAGTTGGTGGCCACTTAGAAAAATGACTGACAAAAATTCCATTAGCACCAATGACTAGGCAACATGAAACTGGTTACTGTCTAGTGTCCATTCATAAGTTTCTCTTATGCTGGCTTTGATATCGTAACAAATTCCACCATGTGCTAATATATATATATATCAGCTGGTAGACATCGATTACACCCAGTTTTTAAGTTTCTTTCGATCACGAAATCGTAAATTGTGCTGTCAAGCCTCATTTTTGACATTTCTGTTGACAAGAATACTATGAATCTTCGATTCTAAATGTGATGGATTACTCCTCCGCCCCTCCAAAGAGGGAGTAATGATGAAAGACCTTTTTCTTTAGTTGAAAATATTGCTTTCACTTACTTCTGGAAAGTATATTTAACCATTTTCTTATCGGTATTCCTAATCTGTACATCAGAGAAAGTCGTTACAACTGATATTTGAGTAGTGCTTAACTACACTATGGAAGGGAGTGAATTAGGACATTTTGATTCATGACAACATGCCCTGAAAATCAATATGAAAAACTGAGTATTTCCAGCAGGAAGAATACAAGTTCTTAACTCAACTTCTGAAGGAGCTTAGTGTAAACAACGATGAAGGATTATAAACTACAATAAGTAATGCATTCAGTTAACCCGAATTGAGTGTTATAGAATCGATAAATAGTTTGCTTTAGGTAAATAAATCAACCAGTGATGGATAGTGGCTAGCAGTATGGTCCTGGACGTGCGTCTCGTCCTATTTGGGACTCGTCAGCTGGGTGTAGCTGCCTCGAAATGGGTGATGTTGTTCCCACTAGGACTCAAACTCGGGGGCCAACTGCTTCAAACGGGAGGACGCTATCCAGTAGATCATCGAGTCATTATACTCGCTTCTTGTGCTGCAAGTATAGTTTTAATGTTGTTGTTTGTATTATCCTGCCGTTGAGTGGACCGAAATCGACCAGTTTCTATTGAGATATGGGTTCCGGTCCCTAGTTCCAGTCCTGGTAGGAACAACATTGCTCACTGGGAGGCAAACACGTAGAGTTGAAGAGTCTCGGATAGGAAGAAAAGTGCATCCAGGATTCCACTGATAGCCACTATCCATCATTACTATATAATTAAAAACAGAGGCAATATCGAGGTATCTGCGAAGAATCCCATATACCAATAAGGACTGATCTATTCAGTCCAACCAACCACGGGATAATTCAAGCAACATCATTAAGATAAATCAATTCACTAAAAATCAGAGACTAGAAAAACTCATGTTCTTTTTGTTCTACTTTTGAAACAAACTGGCGTGAAGATGTATCTACAATTTTTTCACGCTTCGCTATCTATGAACGAGAAGTTATCATGAATTTTACAGTAAAAGCATTTCCTTGCATCCAAATATTCAGGCTGCAACTATTCACATATAAACTGAACTATATGCTCTACAAGCGATACAACCAATACAACAGTGATTAAAGACGTTTGATCATGCTTGTAGTAATGGTTAGTAGGGTAAGTGACAAGATGTGGACTGTTTACTGTCCAACAGAAAGCTTCTGACAATTTTATCCCATTTACCTAGCCGACCATATTGTATACTTGTCCAATAGACTTCTGTCTGTATATATAATATTTCTAAACCAAGATGGTTAACATGCGATGACTGACTTGTGCATGTTATCTAACCCTACAAGAACTCAGTTGTGCTTTCTTTCATACAAAAGGCCTACTAATGAATCCTGTGAATTTGCTACTAACTCACAGACAATCAAACCTCTGAAAGAATGTGAGTTATTCTGAGACTGACGAAGAGGAGTACCAATCAATTATTGTCAGACAGTTTTAATCACCTTAGAATGAATGCTTTCGAATTATTTTCAATATAACTGTCACGGAGTCACTGTCTGTCTTATCATGAACGAAATCCATACTTAACTGCTACATTATTAGCGTCGGTAACTACACTAAGTTAACTCTAGAGGTCTTCAGTTGTATTGTTCTATGGTAGTGTTGTGTCCTCTGTACTGGATGATTTAATTGTGAAACGTTGATTCCATTCCAGATAGCATCATCAGTAGTATAAACTTTAGGATGAAGTGAGCTATGACATTTTCTCCACAAGTGGCTCATTAGTTTATCTAAAATTCACTTGAAAATATGCGAATCTTGGATAGTGGAAATGCAAAAAATGCCAGAGGATCTTTAGAAGCATGGCATTCAATTCATTTAGCGAATAACCCACATATTGACATTGACATATCAACCAATAAGAAATACGTCAGCAAGACAGCTAATAGTAATGCGTAAGGAAAAACTGACAAGATTTTAGCAGAAACAACCAATCACAGTCAAGGTCATCACGATAGATGAGTAAGCTAGTTGTACAGAAGATGTCCAAGCTCATTTCTTTGCAAAGTTTGTGTTGTTGATGATATTATCCAGAATGATAATCAACACTACAGGATTAAACCATCCAGTTCAGAGAAAATCATGCTCACAAAATCATCCTCCTCAGCTAAAAAATATTCTTTGTCATATATTTATATACTTTATAGTAAATAATTATAACTCACTTTAAGATTTACAATCGTCTCAAAATCTTCTTTTGTTGGAGAACCTAAGACTTGAAGTATTAAATTCAATTGATCAATATCTATTTGTTCGTTTTTCGCAATGATGTAGAGGAACAAGCAATGCAAAGAAAATGAGTTATAGAAAATGTGTATTAATGTATCAGAATTTCACTGAAATTTGAGGTCTACACGCCTTGATAGCTAATGACATTTTAGATGTATTCTGAATCAATTAGACAATCAATGTTTTTAGAGTACTGAGAAGTTTCCACTTTTTTTTATATATATATTGAGTGAGTGAGTTTGATGGTTACTTGATGATAGAGTGGTACTTTTCATGTACCAAACACTTTGCATAATTATAGATTAATTGAACTGGTCAATGAATGATAATTAACTTTTATACCTGAATAAATCTAATGACATCTAACTGCGAAAATTAGTGTAGAAGCTGGCATAAAGGAGGCACTAATTCAAGCTTTCACATTTCACAGTAGTATACAAAGAATAGGTGAAAAGAAATAGACTGATATCAAAGTAGACAAAGTTGTATGAGACAATAAAAAATCCAAAGATAACGGCTAGTGTTAAATTTTAAGCTTAAAATGATGTCAAAGAGTTAACAGATATGCGTCACTGTGACCTGTTTTCAACTACATCATCAAGATTCAGATCTGTCGTCTTGGGGACCACAGCCATGCAGTCTACATCTTCCCAAACGACTCAGCTCAACAGTAGGAGAGTTTAGCGACTCGTGCAACGCCTTGATCTGGCTGTTCTGAACCCTACTCTAACCTAATTCAACTTCTTTTAGAATAGCCGGTAGAGGTGGCCGGTGACTTAGTGTGCGTAATACATATCCATGTCATGAAGATTCGCAACCTCATCAATCGAATTGCCTATCTTTCCCAATACCCTTCATGTAACCTCAACATTACTCTTGCGTTGGCTCCACTAAACACAGGAAATGCTGTGAAAACATTTGTGATCAAAAACATGCAATTGCTTCATATCTTCTACCTCTAATGGCCACGTCTCAGACGTATAGTAAGAGAGAACCAACCGCAGCGCAATAAACCAGTCCTTAGATAGATATTCGAATATCTCGCCACTTGGGGTCACAGAAATATGCTTTGTTCCGACCTAGTGGCTCAATGGTAACGTGCTTACCGCGGAAGTTGAAGATCCTACTTTCAACCACTGGCCGGGTCCTGGGTACGCACTGCTAAGGAATTCCATAGAAGGGCGAAGTAGCTGTCCAGTGGTCCCAAGTTTTTAATACTTCACTAACTGATGTCAGTCCATGATAAATACCAACCTGAAATCGATTAACTCAGTAACATGGACACATTCAGAGTTATTGCTTGTACTATACCATCGTTGATTGGACCGAATCGATGAGTCTCTATTGGCCTATACGCTCCTGCGCGGATGCCTCCATATTGCCTCCGTTTTTAACTACATAGTAATGATAGATAATGTCTATCATTGGAATCTAGGGTGTGCATTCCATTTTATTTGGGACTCGTCAGCTGGGTACAACTGCCTCCCAGTGAGTGATGTTGTTCCCACAGGGGTTCGAACTCGGAGGCGATCGTTTCAAACGCTAGAGCGCTATCCACTAGACAACCGAGCCACGATAGCCACTTCTTGTGCGACGGGTATAGTTTGAATGTTATTGTTGGCATTGTATAAAATGCCCATCCTGGATTCCACTATACACCATTACTACATAATGGACAAATTTAGTTGAGTTATATATCACGTATACTTATTAAGTTTATAAAAACGCTACATCAGGATACACCTTAAGTAAATAATCGGTCTGTCAGCAGTCGATTGTTTAAAGTATTCGCTAACCTTGCTAAAATTTGGATTGAATATCTACAGTATCAATTACCTACGATAAGTAAAAAGTTTTATTGATGAAGTGTCAATATAATTTGCTTTTCGTTCAAACCAATAAGGATTCAAGATGAAGCCTAGACTCCTTTGAATTCTAAAAAAGGAATATTCGTGTCAAAATACACCATTTGTAAACATTAATAACAAATAAAAACTCATCAAAATGTAAAACTTGGCAATTAGATAAATATTAAATTAGTAAGACAAAAATGATTAGAAAATCGTAACTTTAACAAGTTATTAAAATCATACTGCAGACCTAGTCAAGACAACATAGACTTCGGTGAAATTCATGAAGCAAAAGAAAGTAATCGAGACAAATGGCAATATTAATGACACATGAAATACAAGTAGACGAATGTGTTGTTCATTCGAACAGACTTGCTTACAAGCTGCTTTGAACAGTTACACACCGACTAAATCACAATTCCTCAGGAACACACAAGTGTCAAGATTTGAAGAATTCGTCTTCAAAATTATCGCCGTTCATCCAATCAGATGAGTTGACAGTCAAACTTCAGAATCATATCAAACAAGAAATGTCTTGATTACATTGTGTTCTCTGAGCCGGGTTGTTTAATCGTGAAGTTTTCATAGTCTTTCTAGACAACATCATAAGCATTAACTTTACAACCAAGACCATACACCTGAGCTACAAATATTCTCCACTATTTCAAGATAAGAAATGTTTTTCCAGTGCTTATGTTAATCAGTGGTAGGTAACCGTCCATCTTTTATCGCATCAGCTGTTTGGCTAAGTATTCATAGTTGAAACTAAAGTGATATGCATGAAAGACAAAAAGGAAGCTCTCAGTCATTTAGTGGAATAAGTCAGTCCTCGCTTGTAGACAGCCTTCTGCTTCTAGGAGTAATAAATGAAGGTAGCTGAAGGAGGCTTAGATAAAAGTGTTGACAGGAAACCACCACATTTAAATAGATACTTGGATTTCACAACATCTCACTCCATTTTTGTCAGAGTAGGCTTGATAAAATGTCTAAGTAATGGGGCCAGGAGTTTAACTAGTCATTCAGATAACTTAAATAAGGAAATAAAAACATATCAAACAGACATTACTTCGCAACAACTACTCTCAAGAGCCTATTAGGAAGTGTATAAGCACTGATAAGAGAACAAGTGGTAATGTTGATGGTGACTACAGCACGACTAAGAGGTAATTCAAATCCTCTGTAGTATTCCCATATAAAGAAGTCACATTGCAGATTCCACATAGAATTCTTAACAATGCTGGCATTAGGGTATCATTCGAACTCACAAACTCACTCACACAGAAACTATGTAGATTAGAAGGTCCAATGGAGCCGATTAAGCAAACTAACCTAATCTATTAAATACCATGCAATGATTATGAGATCAAGTACATAGATCAAAGCAAGTGATCTGGATCAGTCAGTATAGCAGAACACAAAACTTTAGCCAGACATACAATGGTAGACTCTTCTAAGATAAATACCTTGTTGAGTTACTCGATTATCGCTCTACATGAACTGGCGCATAATCACACCATAGGGTGGATGGGATAAGATGTCAATTCTATAATCCAATATAATTGGCTAGGAGGAGAGAGGGAGAGAGAGAGGTTGATGACACAATCTGGGTTCATTGAATCCACACTCAACTCATGTAACAGTAATTGAATAACTCATCACATACTGCAGATATCTGGAAACGTTTAGCATCATTAATATAAATGAATGAAGAATCATTGGACTAGATGAAGAGAGTGTGTGAAAGTCATGCGATTACTTTGATGTGAATATCAGCAATGAATTATTCTTCTCGAAATATCTTCCATTAAACAATACTGTGTTACAGTTTGTTGGCTATATCAAATAAACAATCTAATGTGGGATCTCACTCTATCAGAATGCTCAAGTTTTACTTTTACATGAAAGCAACTGAGAACCTCATTCAAGACGGTTTTCAGACCAGCAGTCAGTGGAGGTTAGTACCCCTATCCTCAAAAAGTATCATAGACTTTTTTTATCACAGGAACAGATATAAATGTTATGCCTATGGTTTAGAGTTCTGTTATAGCCAGGAAACGCATGATGATAGTTATGTCTCAAATAATATCTCATGAATTGTTCAAAGTTATTCATAAGTCTATTGGTATTCATTATCAATACTTCATCAAAATAAAAATGATGTTAAACGTTTAGAAAAATGAAAATTTTATGATTTAAATCACATAAAAGGCAAAAGGATACAATGTTTTCCAGGGAATAGAACACGATTACTGAGCATTTCAGCCATAATACAACCAATCGACCAGATATCAATAGCTTTTGTATACAACTTTGATGTGAGCATAATCTCAGGGGCACGATACCAACGTGTAGCAACATATTCTGTTAGTGTACCAGATTGTTCAGATTCTGGGTCAGCTATACGAGCTAGTCCAAAATCGCATATCTAATAAATTGAAGAAGTAGCAAAAGAAAAATTATTACATTTTAAAGGTAAATATGATTGGAAAATATCTCATTTGAAGACGAATGCTCGTTACAAGTTACAACCAGCTGGGTTGCTGTTGAAGAAAAGTGTCTTACCCTGATCATAATGTAATGCAGTGGCGAATAAAGTTGAAATGAAGATATGAGTCACTAAGATAATTCAAACGAGTGACTGCTAACTAATCAAACCACCAATTTATTCACTAAGCTAAGAGGTCTGCCTAATGACTGAGTCTGACTTTCTCTTCACTCACTGAAGGTTTGTTCTAGCTGTCCTATGTGAATGAATAATGTTTAAGTGATAACTTATTATCACTGTCTAACCAGATGCCGGATCAATCCTTCTCTTTTCAATGCAGATCAAGATGAAGTACACAGAGGAGGAGAGACTGTCTTACCGCTGATGAGGCCAACTGGTAGGGAAAACATGAATTTGGTATACTGAAGATCAAGCTACATCTACATAAAATAACTATGACTTACACCTCTACACAGTTTGTTATAATGATATTGTCTCAGAATGTGTATGAACGACTCATTAACAAACTGGTTAAAAAAGGTACGGAAAATTTGTATCGATGTATATGCACACACACACACACATACACACTCATCACCCTTCAAGGAATACATGTTTATAACTTATTTAGGAATCTGGTATCACACTTCAAAGTTCTAAAGCATTCGTCTAGACCTTCGACTTAAAGTATTCATCAGCCATTTGTGTAATCTTAATCACTGATAAGGATGACATACATTACTGACAGAGATAAGCATTTTCTTAAAAGAATACTATATAACTTTCTGTTGACTCTTAAATGATGACAACTGGATTCAGATTCCTTAGGGTAAGGTCTATATGATCAGAAAACGAGTTCATACATTCAACTGAACCTCTTCTGGTGCACATTATCAACAAGCGTTCAACTATCATACAAGCCAGACAGAATTCTCATGGCTTACATTTCTTTCATAAATATCAATCTGACCTCATAACTAGGCATGAAATCATTTCGAATACTCAAAAATTTCACCTAAGCTAGTATGTAATTTACGTTTATATTTATTTCCTGGGTGATAGATTCTATTCCTCTGATAAGTCTAAAGATGATAGACGTTAGCGTACTGAGACAGCAGGTGATTAAAAGAAAGTGACTGGTTTCTGTCGCTAAATAGACTTTAAAATTATAGGCAACATTAGAACTTTGAAAAAAGTCCGAAGATCAACATTGTCGATTTAACGAACTCATGGTATGTCAGGAAATTTACGTCATTCGTCAGAGATTAGTATTTCACAGTTACATTTTAGTTCAGTACTTTCAAAGTACTTTGATTTGCAGGATTGTGGAGATTCATGGCTTTCAAGTTGATATTCATCACGAACTGATATCAGTTGGCAGAATATTAAAAGCTTGGGATTAATGGACAACTGTTTCGCCATAGTATGGGACTCTTCTTCAGTGTGTACTCATGACCTACTGAATGCAGTGGTACCACTAAGATTTAAATGATTCTCCAACTGAAGTCATTTCGTGCAAAAATAACAAGTTGACTTCCAAAATATGTTTTAAATATTCACACTTCTCAAGACTACAGGGAATATTTATTGCCTCATGAACAGGATTTCTTTAGTGTTAAGTTGACTCAGTTAAATTGTTTAAACTGTAAAGATTCGAATGGCATTCCAAAGGAAATCAGCAATAAAGACTTCTTGAAAAATAGTTTATCATATCGTCTTGGTGAACTACGGAGACATTAATTGTACTTGTGTATATGTTAGGTTTCTGGATGTCTGCTCAGTTGATCTGAACTTTGACCTTGTCCTTGTCTCCTGTGTTTCTATGGGTTGGTAAACTGGTTCAGATTCATTTTTACTTTTATTTGTCCTTTGGGTTTCTAGTGGAACAAACGGCTTCAGTAGCATGTCAGCATTTCAATCTCTTCTCTGCAGTCTTCTTAACTTGGCTTCACCAATACCCACAAGCTTTCATTTATTCCTCACACCATCTCATCCATGTCACCCTCACCTCGGACGCCCAACTCGTCGTTTCCTATTTGGCTTCCATTCGACAACCTGATCTGGCCTGACGTGTGATGTCCCCAAACCGTCTTCTCAGTGAATGTCCAGTGCAGTGCAGTCCAATCCATCTCCACATTCTTCCATACCATATTTGTTTGGCGATGTGTTCTTGCTTCGTTGGTTCGTCGCCAGCCAGCTAGAGTTCCACCTTGCTTATTCTTATTAATCTGGCCACCGGATATCCACCTCCGCTATCGAGTGAGTGCACGCGGCAGCTGTTCATATGATGTATGTCGGCAGTTTGTTGGAAATGCTCTTCGTAACGCGTCAAGTCTATCAACCGTCACATAAAAGTACTAACTGACTTGACTGAATTAGCGTTAAAAATCCGGATCTTGTTGACACCTTATGCTGAGTGCAGTGGAGTGGAGTGCAGTAGATCTCTACACTGATATCAGGTTAATGAAGGAAGGCCTATCTTGCTGTCTTTCCAAACCTGTCTTTGACATCCCCATCTGTGCCTGTGCCACATGTAGTCATAACGATATTGCCCAGGTTAGTAGGAAGGTGAAAGAGACAACTTCGTTTCGATTTTTCTCATTCATGGTGCTCGTTGTTGTTATTGTTGTTGGTTGGGTATCTTCATCACCTCTGTCTTCTCTACCTTCACCTGAAGGAAGTCCCGTCCCCCTTCGCTGCCTCGCCTCGCCTCCCCTGCCAACTTGTTAGTTTTCGCCTGCAGATTTCAAGCTTGTATGACAAGACATTAGACATAAATAAACATTGCGAAATCCAAATCTTCTTCTGGGTTCTTTTCATCGTTCCAGCTAGAGTATGCCCATCTTCCAGCTTCTTACACTGGTCTGTTGTATGATCCAGTCGAGTCTAGCCAACTACAATCATGAAGATCATGGATGATAGTAGGCGTCAACCTTGTCTTATTCCTGTCCCCTGTCTTCACTTCTAAGGCATCACTGAGCTTTCCATTGTGAATCACATGACATGTAGCATCATATAGTATATAGCTGCTGTTGAATGAGGTTGATAAAGGTTTGTAGCACTAAAACTGTAGTGTTGAAGCAACTGCCAAATTACTCCTCGGTCTACGCCCCGATCAAAGGCCTTTTCAAAGTGGACGAAGTTGAGGTGCAGAGTGGACTGCCATTCTATGCTCTGTTATATGATGATGCTTAGCGTAGCATTACAATTTGATCCTCGCATGATTTGTACTTCCTGAAATCAGCCAGCGTGTTCCGGTTGTGATTTGGAATGCAGAGCATTGTTCAGTCTCTGCAGGATCATCCAGCTTAATATTTTGCTTAGTGTGGACAGGAGCATGATTCCGCACCAGTTCTTGCAAACACTTAGGTTGCCCACTCTTCTTTGGGAGTTTTACAAGATAGACCTTCTTCCAGTCAACCGGCAGGTACCTTTCCTTCCTTCCTTCCTTCCTTCCAAACCTTCTGCAATAGTGGCGTAAGCATGTTCACTGTCATCTGTGCGTCCGTTTTCAGTAATTCTGGAGGAATTCCATCTGGTCCTGCTGCTTACCCGGCTTTCAGCAACTTTATGACGTTCAGGACTTCACTTCGGCTTTTGTCGGAGGGCTTGTGTTCACTGATAGTTCTGTGGGTGGGCTGCTGGTGGTGTTTCTGGACAACTTGCAGGTGATGGTGACGGTGGTGATTGTGGTCGATTCACGAGTTTTTTGAAGTGGTTAGCTCATTGTTTTCTTTGTTTCTTCTCTTTGGTGGTAACTATGTTTCCTTCACTATCTTTCATTGGTCTTATCTTCGTTGATCTCTTCCCAGATAATAAGTAAGCTGATTATCTGATATAATGTTGTCAGGTTTCTATCTCTCTTACCTGCAGACTATTCTGTTTATATGTCAATGCTCTGCTGTTTATTTACTAAAATATAGAATATTTTCTGTTCTCTAACAATTAAGCTGTATGTAAACGAACTCAACTCTTTTAGATCACGGAAAATTTGTGAGTAAAGTATCGTATGAACTTTATATCAGCAATATATATGATTATTAGATTATCTGGTGGAAATTCTTATAGCCCAGAGTGTAAATATTCAGAGTGAGTTGTCCTCTGGGATAGGGTTTTTAGTTGGCAAACGTTTGACTGTCACACTAGACACGGTCATCAGTGCATTAGAGCTTCATAAAGATGTCCTTGTGAAGCCCTAGAGAACTGATGATGACGTGAATATAGTGTGTTGTTGGAACGCTTGTCAAATAAGAACAACTCACTCTCAGAATGCCAATTAGTTAAATGAATTTTAGTTATGAAGCTTAGGAGGATATATTGATTTTAGATTGGTACACATCATAGAATGGCTTAACTTGGAAGAACATTGAAAACCTAGGAGCACTGGGCACCTGTCTCGTCCTAGTATTGGACTCCTCAAGAGTGCGCACCCATTACCCCTCTCCAACAGAAATCGAACTCGGGACCTTCAGGTTCCGCTGCCAGCACGCTACCATTGAGTCACTGAACTGGAATCTGTGGTCCATGTTTATTTATTCTGTCAGTTCACGCTATAGCGTAAGCTACATCTAATGCCGTCGTTGGGGGATCGATCCTTGGTGGGAACATAGATGCGCACCTCCGTAGAGTCCCATACTACGACGAAACAGCTGTCAAGTGCTCCAGATTTCCAATGTTTCTCCAACTAACATCAGTCCATAGTAAATGCCCGCCTAAATAAACTTTAGACTTACAATTAAAAAAATCACACTTATCTTTTCCTATATTTAAGATAAATCACAAGTACTTTAATCCTTGAAAACAAAATATTTCTATTTACCTGTTTCATCATTTACATAACATAAAATGGTGATATTGAAAACATGAAACAACAATAACAATTGAACATTGAATGAACATTTTAAAAAGGCGGTATACATAAGATGTTATCAGTACTCTTG